GCCTCTGCCTCCCAAGTTCTGGGATTAAAGGCGTGCGCCACCACGCCTGGCATAAAATGTATTTTTTTTTATTTTATGTGTATGAGTGTATTGCCTGCATGTATGTGAGTGCACCTGTTTCATGCAGTGTTGTGGAGGTCAGAAGAGGGCTTCGGATTCCCCTGGAACTGGAGGTAAGGGTTCGTAGCCACCATATGTGTGCTGGGAATCAAACCCGGGTCCTTTGCAAGAGCAGTCAGTGCTCTTAGACGCTAAGCCATCTCTCCAGCCCCATAAAATGTATTTTTTAAAGATTGAGAGTCCACATGGCTCATGCCTTTAATCCCAGCACTCAGAAGGCTGAGAAAGGAGGATCTCTGTGAGACAGACACCAGCCAGTCTACATAGCAAGTTGTAGGACATCTGGGACTACAGGAAGACCCTGTCTCATAAAAACAAAAAAAGGCTGGCAGGACCAGACAGATGGCTTGGCAAGTAAAACTGTCACAAAAGCCTGAAGACCTAAGTCAATACCCAGGACCCACATAAAGTTGTGAATCAACTCCTATAGTTGTCCCCTTACCTCCACATGTGCACTACAGCATTCAGGTGCATGGAGGGGCACATATGTGTGCACACACACACACATACATCACACAATAATAAATAATTAAAAAATATTTACAGAAGGGCTGGAGAGACGGCTCTATGAGTAAATGTGCTGCTGCCCAACCAAGCCAGCCTGAAAACCCAAGTTCAACAACCAGAACTCACATCCAGAGCCCTCCAGAGTTGTTCTGTGACCCCTACACACACACACACACACACACACACACACACACTATGGCAAATGCACCCCCACAAAGCATACATACACATAATCATAGTAATTTTTTTTTAAAGACTAATAGAGGGGCTGGAGATGGCTCAGTGGTTAAGAACACCAGCTGCTCTTCCAGAGGACCCAGACATGGTTCCCAGCACCCATATGATAGCTAACAGGTGTCCTTAACTCCAGTTCCAGGTGATCCGATGCCCCTTTCTGGCCTCCGGAGGCACTGCACACACTTTGCACTTACATACATGTAGGCAAACCACTCTTAAAAATAAATAAACACAAATTTTTTTTAAAAGATTGACAAATCAACAATAGGAAGGCACATACGGAGGGAAAATGCAGGGCTGGCAAAACAGTTCAGAGGTTAAAGGCAACTGCCACCAAGGCTAGCAACCTGAGTGTGCTCTCCAAACCCATATGTTCAGAGAAGAGAACAGACTCCCCTCAAGTTGTCCTCTGAAAGCTACCCATGCCCTGTGCACAAGCACACACATACATACAAAATATATTCTGTGTTTTGTTTTCTGTGTTTTGGCTTTTTTCAGACAGGGTCTCCCTGTAGCAACAGCCAGCTGGGAACTACAGGCTGGCCTTGAACTTACAGAGCTCTGGCCTGCCTCTGCCTCCTGAATGCTGGGATTAAAGGCACGCACCACCACATCCAGCTTCAAAATATACTCTTTTTTTTCTTTCATATTTTTTTATTATTTTTATGTGTATTTTTATGTGTATATGCATGTATTGCCTGTGTGTTGGTAAGTACACCCGTGTCGTGCAATGCCCACAGAGAACAGGAGAGGCTGTCGGACCCCCTGGAACTGGAGTTACAGACAATTGTTAACTAGGCAGGTGGATCTCTGTGAGTTCAAGGCCAGCCTGGTCTACATAGTGAGTCCAGGTCAGCTGGGGCTACAGGGAGACCCTGTCTCAGAAAGACTGAAAGAAAAAGCAAAATATAAAGTGCATACCTCAAAATTTTCACTGACTTCTTGCATCATTTTCAATTTTGTTTCATCAGCTGTAAAGGGCAAAACAGACCATCAGATCACTGAAGGTGTTTAGGATGTTCCAAATATTATTGTATTTAATAAGTAGAGAGAAGCAATCAGATCTTATCAGTTTGACTGTCATAGCCCAGAAGATGGCACATAGCTAGGTCCCTAACGACCAATCACACATATCCATGCTCTCAAGCACACGTGTGCATGCACAAAGGACACGGACACACACAGGCACACGCACACACACTTGTGCCTCTTTGGGGCTCCAGCCACGATTGCTCATCACTTTGCTTCTCCAAATGGCACACAAAGGACAACCAAGGCTAAAACCTAGCATTGATATTTATCTCAACATACACACTATTCAAACTCCAAGACGGAGTCCTTCGACAAAAATGACAAAAAGGATCAACGCACGTGTGTTTACATCCGTGAGCGCTGCCACAAACTGAAGGTATTTTTTCATCAGCGTGGTTTGGTCAACCACTGTGGCCCCTTGGGTGGCGACGAATGCCATTTTTCTTCTGAGTTGGTTTCTTTCTCAAAACAGAAATACCAGATCCATGAGTTCACCCAGCCTGCGAAAAGAAACATTTAATTAGCAACTTTTAAGGACATAGGGCCACAGCCTATACATTTATCTAGTCAATGCAGGGTAGGGGAGCACACATGATCAGTGTATGTGCAGGAAAACTAAAAAACAACTTGCAGAAATCCTTTCTCTCTAACCATCTGGGTCCTAGGGAGCAAACTCAGGTCATCAGGGATGGCACCAAGTGCTTACCCACTTAGCCATCTCACCAGCCTACCACCTAAATACTTCCGCAGTAACTCAGAATATAACACTATTCTCTGTGGGTTGTTTGTTTTTGCTAAAATGTTTACCCAAATCCACTTTTCCAAACATCATTTTTCAACATGGAAGCATTTCTTTTCTATTATATTTCCTTCTTTCCCCAAGCCAGGAGTTTGCAAAGATTTTCTATAAACAGCTAGTTAGTAAGGAATGGGAGATGTAGCTCAGTTGGTAGAGTGTTTCACCAGCATGCATGAAGTCCCAGGGTTCCACCCTGAGCAAACCCCAGCATTGCAAAAAACAATTTTAAACCCAAGCAGTAGCACAAAAACTGTGACAGGACCAGGAAGCTGAGGATCAAATCACACTCAAAGAATAGTTTTTTGAAAAAAACATTTGGGACTGGAGAGATGGCTCAGTGGTTAAGAACACTGGTTGTTCTTGCAGAAGACCTGAGTTCAAATCCCAGCACCCACATGGCAGCTAACAACCGTCCATAAATCCAGTCCCAGGGGATCCAACAGTCTCTTCTGACTTTCTCAGGCACTGCATGACACAGGTGCACTTACCTACATGCAGGCAATACACGCATACACATAAAATAAAAATAATAAAATATTTGAAAAAAACATTTATTTACATGTCATCAACATTTATGTTCCATCGCAAGTATGTGGAGGCCAGAGGACAAAGAGGGAAATCCATTCTTTCCTTCTACCATGTGGGTCCCAGGGACTGAACTCAGTTCCTCCAGCACCACTTGGCAGCAATCACCTTTACCTGCTGAGCCATCTTGCTGACCCTTAGGACTGCCTCACTTCAAAAACCACCTCAGCAAGTTGGAAACAGGCTGTTGATCCATTTTGAGAACTCTTGGTCCAAGCTGACAACAAATAGCGACTTGCTTTCTATTTTATAAAAACTGTCCCAAGTGTCTAGGGAATTTATTGAAAGTGCCTTTACCTCAACCTCCCACAATTTCACTCCAAATGAAGAGGTAATGGTTTCATAGCTTGCTTTTCTTCAATAGACACACCCATAACCCATTGGCAAACTTTTCAAATGCACTATCTTCCAAGACACACTCCCTAACAGCTGTCACAAGTGATGGGGATACCAGCGCATCAGAACTCCTCTGGCAACTTGCAAAATGGACAAAAAACACTTTGGCAACAGAGAGGATTTTCTAAGTTCTGAGAATAACCAGCGAAAAGCTCCCATGCTCTAGTGAAGGGCAGGAAAGTCTCCAAGGAAGCTGGGCATGGTGGCAATGGCACACACTTGTCATCCCAACACTCAGGAGTTCAAGGTCAGCCTGCACTACATACCTACTTTCAGATCAGAAAGTGCTACTTCAACAAGACCCTGTCTCACAACAAAATAAGTGGGGCTGGAGAGATGGCTCAGTGGTTAAAAGCACTGGCTGCTCTTGCAAAGGACCTGGGTCTGGTTCTCCAGCATCCACATAACTGCTAACAAGCGTGTGTAACACCAGTTCCAGGGAAATCTGACACACTCTTCTGACACTGCATGCATGGATACACTTATATACATGCAGACAAAACATTCACATACATAAAATAAAAAATATTTTTAAAACAATCAAAAAAGTTCAGGGCTGACAAGGTGGCTCAGTGGGTAAAGGTGTTTATCACCAAGCATGAGGACCTGAGTTGAATCCCCAGGACTTACATAGTGGAAGACCTAACTCCTACAAGGTGTCATCTGACCTCCACACAGGCATGCACGCACACAAAGACACACACAAATACGTACTTTTTTTTAAGTCCACACCTAGAAGTACTATCAGCCTTGTGACCTGGCAATGTTTTGTCCTTTCTTATTCCACTCTCTCCTCCAAGCATTGAAGACCCCATATCCCCATCCTCTAGGAACTAAAACTTCCGGTCATAGTCTCTCCTTGCTTAAGAACTGACCCCCTAGTCCTGCCCGAATTTCTGTGTGTGTTTTGAGATAAGGTCTTGCCGTGTAACACTGGCTGGTGGCCTGGAACTTCAGCGCACAGAGATACACGTGCCTCTGCATCCAGAGTGCTGGGATTAAAGGCATCCACTACCATAGCCGGCTTCTGCCCAAACTTTTGATCTCACTTTCCTGTTATAGGGGTAGTTTCCAGACAGGATCTCAGAAAGCTGGCTGAGAGGCCTGAGATGACCTTGGATTCCTGTACCGAACTTCTGGAACAGCTAGGATATTAAGCCTGCGGTGCTAGGTGCTGGGGAAACAAACAGAGTTTTCGGTGTGCAAGGCAGGAACTCCACCCACTAAGCTACAGTCCCAACACCTACTCAAATTTTTGTTTTGTTTTTTGAGACAGTCTCCCTGTAGCCCAAACTGCCCTGAAATTCACTATGTAGACCAAGCTGGCCTCTGCTTCCCGACTGCTGGGATTAAAGGTGTGTACCACCACGCCCACCCTCTGCTCCAACTTTTGAGAGATTCAATCACCCTTTCATAGGCAATGCATTCTCTGAGCCAATTTCATCCCATCCCCCAGCAGCCAGGCCTAGTTTCCCGCAGGGTCATGACTGACAGTGACCGGGGGTGTGTGGGGGGGTATGGATATATCTCCTTCAGTCTGGGGATTTCTGGAAGGTGGTTCTGAACCTTCTGGAAGGACATGAGCTCAGGCCTGGCTACCCACCACCCCACCAAGAAGTGAACCAGGTAAGAACCTGGCAAATTGCCAGGTCCTCAGTGCGGACCCGCCCCGCCCACAATACCCGGGCAGGATGCCGCAGCGCCGCCAAGCCGCACGGGGGCGCTGTGACCGCCGCTACCTTCGCTCTTCGCTCTGGCGGGGGGAGCCAGGTGCCTGCGTGGAGGCCCAGAGATGCCAGGATGGCTTTTAGAAAGGGCTCCTCTGGGCCGCCACAGCACCTCAACTCCTCATTCAATCCCTGACAGTCGGAAACAGCCTTCCTTTTGTCACCGATCCTCCGGAAAGGTACACACTCGGCTTCCCACAAGCCGCTGAGCTACGGCGAGCTCCAAGGGACAATCCTCGCGGGCCTTTAGCATTGCGCTTTCCCACTGTCGGCTCACAGCGCAGCCAGGCGCGGCGGAGGACTAAGGACCACAGCCAGACGGATCAAGCCAGGCTGAGTCTCAAAGGGGCCTAAGGGACCTCGGCCAGCCCGGAGCACCCTCCTGTCCCCCTCTGTGCAGCCGTCGCGCTGTACCGGCCTCTCGCCGGGCCCTGAGACGTGCAGTGCGTGCGTGTGCATCTCCCGGGGTCGTTCTCCCGCAAGCCCCGCGCTTACCGGAACCAGCCGGCCTCCCGCAGCTGGGCCCCAGACCCCCGGCAGGCCTAAGCCGCTCCTCCACCGCCGCCGCGGCTCCTGCTGGGTGCGCAGTCCCGCCCCTGCTTAAAGCGACGGCGTCCGCCCAGAGAGAACTAGGCCCCGTGCACCGCCCCCAAGTGGGTGCGGCCTGGGCGGGCGGCGGGACAGGGAGGGAGGCTGCAGCGTGGGTGGGCGAGCTGGCCCTCTAAGTCCACGCCTGCGAGGCTGGGAGGGCTGTGAGCTGCTTCAAGTGCAACAGCTTTGGACCTCTTGTGTCCTTATACCTCCCTGGAACCAGTCCCGAAGAGGGTGGTAGGTGTCCAGGGTGTTTTCCCTAAATGGTCCTCAGCTGGACTGTGTGTGCAGAGCTGGTTTCCCTTTCCTGGGATTACTTTTTCTTTTTTTGGTCTTTTTGAGACAGGGTCTCCATGTAGCCCCAGCTGTCGTGGAACTCACTATGTAGACCAGGCTGGCCTTGAACTCACAGAGATCCACCATTGAGCTACAGTCGAGCCCCTTGGGATGTCTCTCTCTCTCCAGTGCTGGGTTTAAAGAAGAGTGCCAATATGCTCTTTAAAAAAAGAAATATTGCCGGGCGTGGTGGTGCACGCCTTTAATCCTAGCACTCGGGAGGCAGAGGCAGGTGGATCTCTGTGAGTTCAAGGTCTACATAGTGAGTTCCAGGACAGCTGGGACTACAGGGAGACCCTGTCTCAAAAAGACCAAAAAAAAAAGAAAGAAAGAAAGAAAAAGAAATATTTGTTTTCATTATTTTAGAATTATGGAGTGGGGCACTGGGGTAGGTATGTGCACGTGAGTGCAAGTGCAAAAGCCAGGGGAGGCCAGAGACGAGATCCCATGGAGCCGCAATTGTAGACAGTTGTAAGCTATCTGATATGGATGGGAACCAAAATGTGCTCTTAACCGCTAAGTGTTCTTTCGAGGCCCCCTGGGATTCTTCTTTATTATTTGTTTGAGGCAGGGTCTTACTATGTCGCCCTTGGTGGCCTGGAACTCGCAATTTAGACCAGGCTGACCTTGAACTCCCAGAGATTCTCCTGATTTAAAAGTGTGCTCCACCAATCCAGGCTTTCTGGGGTTTTTTAATACAAGCAAACAGAAGAGGCAAGGGAGGCCACTGGGAGGCTGCAGATAGGCTGTTCCCTCTTAGCAAAGGCAAACCCAGGTGTAACAGACAACCACAGTTAGTATGGGATGACCTCCACCTAGGCCAAAATGGGTGGGAGTCAAGCTTCAAGCCAGGCCAAAGCAATAAAGAAATAGTGTGGGGACCAGTGAACACAGTAATCCACAAGTGAGGTGGCAGATGCCAGACCAACAGGCACTTCGGAATGAAAGACTATCAAACCTTAACTACTAACTCCTAGAACAGAAGCTAACGCTGAGCGTAGCCTGGTAACCATAGATAGTTAACTGGGTTTTGATGGACAGCATGTAAATGACGACCTAAACCGCTCCTCTTCCAGGCTCCCAGTTTTACATCCTGTTCCGACCCTGTAGCCACTAGGCCCCAGAATCTTTGTTTCATTTTCCAAATCGGTACATTTTCTCATCTTGTAATCAACAGAGCTTGCCATGTCAGCAAGACGGCCCTGGAGTTTGAAAGACGCCTTTGAAAACATGTCCCTGTTTGTTTATTGTTACCACAAAAACTGGGTAAAAAAAAGAATACAATAATAATTTTAAAAAGAACTGTGACTGAAACGGTGGAAATGTGGGCCGTTGTTTTTAATGGCAATTTTGAAATGTTTTTGACTTATTTATTTTTATTTTATGTATTTGAGTATTTTGCCTGTGTGGATGTAAATGCACCCACATGCATACAATACCCACAGAAGCCAGAAGAGGACATCAGATTCTCTGGAACTGGAGTTATGGATAATTGTAAGCTTCCATGTGGGTGCTGAGAACCAAACCCAGGTCCTCTGCAAAAACAGCCAGTACTTTTAACCACTGAGCCATCTCTCCAGCTCCCTTTAATGACTTTTTTTTTTTTTTTTGGTCTTCCCTCTTGCAAGAAATTGGCTATTTACAAAGAAAATCTATGCTTAGCCATCACTAGCAACCGCAAAGTTTAAGAAGGACTGAAAAACAGATCAAATCAGGATGTTGTTGAACATCATTGAGAGATAGAAGAACAGGTGTGTCTTTAATCCCAGCACTTAGAAGGCAGAGGCAGATAGATCTCTGTAAGATCGAGGCCAGGCTGGTCCACATAGCAAGTACCAGGCCAGCTGGGGCTACAGGAAGATCTTGTCTCAAAAATACAATAATAATTAGTTTGCTTTGCTTTGGAGTTATACTTTTCAGAGCAGCAGAGACAGGGACAAGATGAGCTGTGGGTGTGGCAGGTCCTTGTGGAAGACCCAAGTCCTGGCAGTCTTGGACTGCTGCTGCTGTGTGGAGCAGAAGAGTCATGTCTCAGGGTTTTGTGCTTGGTTTCTCCTAAGCCACTGTGTGGGGCCTTGGAGAATTGGGACTTTCCTATGGGGGCTCTACCACTCTGTCAAGAAGTAAGGCAGGCTGGCACGGGGGCACATGGGTTTTTTTGGGGGTGGGGTTGTTTTGTGTGTGTGTGTGTGTGTGTGTGTGTGTAGGACCCTGAGACCCTCTTCATTCACCTGCTAACCCCCACTAATTGCTCTTTTAGCTTCTGTAAAATGCTTGGCTGCTGCTTTAGACATGCCTAGACATGCCCTGACCCCCCGCCTGCTATTCCCCCCTCTTCCAGGAAACTATAGATTAAGCAAGCCCAGGCATGAAAACTGCCCTATAAGGTAAAAACAGAGACTCCTGACCCCACAGATAACAGTCAGCACATTCCACAGCCCTGAGAATAGCACCTACCAATAAGAAACTTCCAGGGCTGCATCTTATACATCCAGTTTAAAATTATGTTGGCGCACGCGGGCTCCTTGAACTAACTAAAATGTATCTTCGGTATCCCTCTCCCCTCTTTGTCTAAAACCTATAAAGTCTCCACTCTCCCTTACTCTGGGCTCTCAGCATGGATCCGTTGAGTTGGTGAGGTCTGAGAGCCCGAGCTTAAGCCCAAATAAGCCATAAACCTTTGCTTTTGCATTTTGGTGTGTTGAGGTCCTCAGTGGTCTTTTTGGGGTCCAATGGATGAGGTACAACATTTGGGGGCTCGTCCGGGATCCCCCAGAGTGGGGGACCCCCCCCCCAAGAGGAACCGAAACCAAAACGTTTGTGATCAACTGGCCGGGTAAGTTTTTGTAAAACTTTGTGTGTTCCTGTCTTCTCTATGCTTTCACTTTGGTTGCGGCCATCTGATCTCAGTTTTTCTTTGTCGCTGAAATGCTAGCGAGGTGACCTGGAGGATTCGGGAGATGTCCCCATCCTTGTCAGGGTGGGTGTTCCTCATCAGACACCCCACCAGGACACTAGTCAATCTGAAACCTCAGAGGACCTCGTGACCCTGTTGGGACATGCACGTCCTATCTGTACAGTCTTTGGCATAATCGAGCCGGGGAACTCTCACAGCTGAGAGTCCAGACCATCTGAAAGCCGCGGTAGTTTATTCTGGGCCTCTGTCTGTGTCATTCTTGTGACTTGTGATCTTCATTCTACTTTCTTTGTTGATGAAACGGATGGGACTGATAAATACTATGGGCAACACCCCATCTTCCCCTCTAGATCTTACACTAGTCCACTGTGGGGATGTTAAGACAATTTCCCATAACAATAGTGTAGATGTAAAGAAAAAGAAATGGACAACTTTATGTTTGGTTGATTGGCCCTCCTTCAATGTTGGATGGCCCCCTGAAGGGACTTTTAACCTGAGTTTGATTTCCAGGGTAGAGGACCATGTCTTCCACTCACGGACAGGCCACCAGGACCAGATCCCATACATCGTGACCTGGCGAGGCCTCATTGAACAACCCGATGCCTCCCCCCACCTGGGTCAAGTCCTTCCTTCCCCCGATTAATCCAACTGCTCCCCCTCCACCTCTGCAGGTCCTCCTCTCAGACCAAAGGCAGAAGAGAAACCTATTCTCCAGGGAGGCACGGAGAACGACATCTTTCTCCCGCCCTACTCCTCTCAGATGGGCACCCCGCCAATGGCGCCACAAGTGCAGGCCCTGCCTCCTAAACCTGAGGAGCCACCATTGCCTCCACAGGGACCTGGTGTAGGCCACACGGAGCCATGGGGGGCAGCCCCCCAGCCTGACACCATTGCCCTCCCCCTCCGGCCAGTGGGGCCCCCAGATAGAGCAATCAGCCCTTTCATTACTGGCCCTTTGCCACCAGTGTGATCTTTACAATTGGCACTCACAGAATGCGCCTTTCTCTGAAAACCCCAGGGACTTGATTAACTTATTGGAAACTGTTCTCTTCACTCACCAGCCCACCTGGGACGATTGCCACCAGCTCCTGAGTGTCCTGTTCACTACTGAGGAGTGAAACAGGATCCTGGAGGCAGCCCAGAAATTGGTTCCGGGCCCCACCGGGGACCCTACCACAGACCCAGGCATCATTAATGCCAGCTTTCCCCCAACTGGGACTACAACATGGCAGAAGG